CATGTGATTCGGTAGCCTCTGTGGTGATACCCGTCATGATGACTAACACCACAACTACAGAAGATCAAATTTCGAATCTAGCCAAAATTGTCAAAGGGCTATTAGTGTATACGCAAGGTCAAGATGCCAAGATAATCAAATTAATGATTATGGTGGAACATATAGGTGAAAATAGCCTTAGCATTTCCAAATCGAAATCCAAAATGCAAGATGAATGTGACTCATCATCGAGGGAGAAGGAGAAAGAGAATGCCAAACTACAAATAATGAAGGAGTTTTCAATCTCCCCCGATAGCACCATTCATGTCGATAATTTAAAGAAATTTATCAAAGGTACAATCAAGAACAAGATTGGTAGGAGTACCAAGTCGTATAGCGGTTATACCAAACCTTACACCTCAAGAGTGAAAAGTTTGAAGATGCCTGTGGGATATGAACCTCCAAAATTTCAATAATTTGATGGCAAGGGCAACCCTAAACAACATATTGTGCACTTTGTTGAAACTTGTAACAATGCTGGCACTGATGGTGACTTGCTTGTTAAGCAATTTGTTCGCTCATTGAAGAGTAATGCCTTTGATTGGTATACCGATCTGGAACCTGGCACCATTGATAGTTGGGAGCAGTTAGAGCATGAATTTCTTAATCACTTCTAAAGTATGAAGAGAACTGTCAGCATGACTGAGTTCTCTAATAAACGTCAATAGAAGAATAAATCTGTCATTGATTTTATCGATCGTTGGAGGAATTTGAATCTTAGGATCGAATTTCTGAATTGTAAGGATCGAATTTCTGAATTGTAAGGATCGAATTTCTGAATCTTTCGCGATCAAGATGTGCAATCAAGGTATGCATTGGGGACTCGGGTACATCTTGTAAGGTGTGTAACCGAAAACATTTGATGAATTATCCACAAAACTCATAAGGTGAAATTAATCTTGATGGACAAGAGCCGCCAGTTCTTGACTCTCGCAAGGCTAAGGAGAGACAAGAAAAAAATTAGGAAAGGTGGCAAGCCACCAATCAAAAATGAAAAGAAGGAATCCATGGCTACAAGTATAATACCTTTTAAGATTGTTCCTAAAATCGCTAGCAGAGAAGATAGGAAGATCACTATGCATCAAGAGCAAGGAAATGGGAAATCGACTCTCAAGGAGATGCAAGTCAAGGAGTACACTTTCCTTGATTCTAATATCCCTGGTATGTTTGATGATCTGTTAAGTATAAACTTGATTGCGCTTCCTGAGATGAAGTGAGCTAACGAGGCTAGGAACATCGATGATCCAAATTATTGTAAATATCACGGTTTGGTTGGGCATCCCATTCAAAAATACTTTATCTTCAAAGATATACTAATAGAGTTGACGAGACAAGGAAAAATTCTTCTTGAAGAAGATAAGGCTAGTGTGAATCAAACGTCCATTGATTCCCTGCAGTCCATAGAGGTTAAAAAGATTGCCGAGGGAGTTGAAAAGGTCATGGTACCTGTATTGCCAATAATTCAATTTGGATCGTTTGATCCCATAGAAGTCGAGCAAGAAACTGCTATTTCAACTCTTCAAGAACATGCATATGAAGATGGAAAGGCTTTACAGCCTGATGTGAATGGTGAAGGATGGACTCTAGTCATACGTAGAAAGAGGCGAAAACGTCGTCCATCAAATAAGGCGAATAAGGCCTTAATAAGAAATATGGTGGACTGGAAGGGAAAAATGAAGGACATGAAGGAAAGCAATAATTATTGTAATCTTCAAGGAAGTCAAATCTTCAAACAAAAGTCGCGTACTCCTATCACTCTAAAAGAATTCATGCCCAAAGAATTCTTTGATGTCGATGTGGTCGCAAGTCACACGACACGAGTAGATCATATTGAAGAACAAAAAGATAATACTTGCGAATCTCCTTGTGAAATAGCCTGTATGCCTACCAACAATGAAGAGGTGAATGTCACAAGTATCACCCTCACTAGTGAAAACTTGTTACTTGGGTCAACGCCGCATAATCGTCCTTTGTTTGTGACTGGTTATGCAAAAGAGCAAAAGCTGAATAGAATTTTGATAGATGGAGATTCCGCGGTCAATATTTTTCCTTTAAAAACTCTGAAGGAACTTGGCATCCCAGTTGATGAACTCTCAAATAACCAACTGATGATTCAAGACTTTAATCAAGGAGGGCAAAGAGCTCTTGGATCACTAAATTTGGAGATAGTCATGATGGCATGTCGTTTAGAGCACTATTGTACGTGATAGATGCTAAAACAGCATACAATGTACTATTGGGAAGGCCCTGACTTCATGAAAATGGAGTTGTACCTTCAACCATTCATCAATGTTTCAAGTATTATCGAAATGGGGTGGTGAGAAGTGTGAAAACCGATAATAATCCTTTCACTGAAACGGAAGCATATATTGCTGATGCCAAATTTTATATTCAAAACCACAATGTGAAGGATGAGTCTGAGCAACCATTATCTGTGATTAAAATCTAGAACCCCGAATCTTCAGGTGTAAAAGGGGAGAAAGTAATGATTCCAAAATAAAAAAAGAAAGTTCATTAAGAAACTGATGTTTCATTGCCAAAAAATGAATCAGTTGTCTTTCGTTACCATCCTAAGTCAAGATTGGAAAAAGGACAGTCATCTTCAATTCAACACAAAATTCTAAAAGGTTTGACTCTTCCTGTGATTAATCTTGATGCTAAGAAGGTACCGTCTCCTTTACTTAAAAGGTTCAACTTTTCAAGTAAAGAGTTTGAAATTAAGCAAGACACCATACCAAAATTAAGAACCAAAGAAGATTTTGATCCTAGTGCGTATAAATTTCTCGCTAAGGCTGGATATGATTTCAAAGAATCTGTGGTGTTAAATATCTCACTCTTTCAATCTACTAGTGACATGGTTCATAGGTTGAATCCTATCCAAAAAATGTTGAAGAAAAAAGGATATGCCATTGAAAATTTCAAATTTGATCTTGGCTATTCTTCCCCTGCAGCAATTTGCATCAAGATCAATAGATTTAGTAGCTAATATATTACTATAGGGTACGAGTCTTCTCAAATAGTTGATAAATCTCAAGTTTTTCATGAAAATGAAAATAAAGTTCCACGGGTTTCTGTTTTTAAGATATTGGGACCACAAAGTAGGCAAAAGTCTCAAAACTCTCATAAGAATAAAGGGAGAATGGCAAAGTCATTGAAAAATTTTGAAGAACCCTCTGATTGTCCTCATAAATTTGGTAGCATTATTCCCTCAAGAATGAACAGATATATAACTCTTGTAATAAATTGTGGGATTGAACTAAATGTTAGGGAACGTACTATGATATGCACAAGACCAAAAGAAAATGATGAAGAGAGTGTTGCTTTATGTAATTATATAACTATATTTGATGGCAACTCTTCTGGAGAAGAAGAAGATGCTGAAGATGCTCCACCTGAATTTGAAAAAGGCATTAAGGTCACTGTAAATGATCTAAAAGAGATAAATCTTGATAATTCAGAAGACCCACGTCCAATATATGTAAGTGCTTTATTAAGTTCTGATAAAGAGAAAACATATGTCGACTTCTTGCGAGAGTATCAAGATATTTTTGTTTGGACTTATAAAGAAATATCGAGTTTAGACCCAAAATTGGTTGTCCACCATTTGACTGTTAAAAAGGAAGCTCGGCTTGTAAAGCAGGTACAACGTTGATTTAGATTCGATCTGATTCCCTTGATCGAAATTGAAGTCAATACATTCATTGAAACTGGATTTATTTGTAAAGTTAAATGTCCCACATGAATTTCAAGTATCGTGCTTGTACCAAAGAAGAACGGATAGATTCGCATCTGTGTCGATTTCAGGGATCTTAACAATACTTGTTCCAAAGATGATTTTTCTTTATCTATCACTGAATTTATGATTGATGCAACTACTGGACATGAAAGTCTGTCATTTATGGATGGCTTTTCTGGATATAATCAAATTCAATTGGCACTTGAGAATGAAGAACTCACTGCATTTCGTACTCCTAAGGATATTTATTGCTATAAAATAATGCCCTTTGGTCTTAAAAATGTTGGAGCCACATACCAAAGAGCAATGCAAAATATCTTTGACGACATGCTTCATAAAAATATCGAATGTTATGTGGACGATTTAGTTGTTAAATCAAAGAAAAGAAATAATCACTTGGAGGATTTAAAACAAGTCTTTGATAGATTGAAATTGTATCAACTCAAAATGAATCCCTTCAAATGTGTATTTGGAGTCATATCAAGAAAATTTCTTAGTTTTATGGTTCAAATCGAGATATTGAAATTGACAGGACCAAAATTGATGCTATATTAAGGATGTCGGAACCTTGTAGTAGTCATGAATTACAAAATTTTCAAGGACGGTTAGCCTATTTACGGAGGTTTATCTCAAATTTGGCGAGAAAGTGTCAACCATTTAGTCGCTTTATGAAGAAAGGTGTGCCGTTTCAGTGGGATGAGGCATGCAGTAATGTATTCGATAGCATTAAATCTTATCTTATGAAAACACCTGTTTTGGCTACCCCTATTTATGAAAAGCCATTACTCCTCTACATTGCTGTCCAAGAGCGTTCAGTGGGGGCATTACTGGCACAAGAAAATAATGAAGGAAAAGAGGCTGCCATTTATTATTTAAGCAGAATGATGACTTTAACGAATTAAACTATTCACCGATTAAAAAGTTGTGTTTAGTTCTTATTTTTGCAATACAGAAGCTAAAACATTACTTTCAAGTGCATAGGGTAAGACTTATTTCAGGCGAATCCCATAAAATATATGATGAGTAGATTAGTACTATCCGACCGTCTAGCCAGATGGTATCTTCAGTTACAACCATTCGAAATTACTTATGTACCTCAAAAGGCTGTAAAAGGTCAAGTACTTGTAGATTTTCTTGCTGATCACCTAATACCTGTTGAATGGAGTTGAGTGATGATTTACCAGATGAGGACATTCTCCTCATTGAAATTCGCGCACCATGAAAAATGTATTTTGATGGTGCTGTTCATCGTCATGGAGTTGGGACTGGTATTATATTCATAACTCCTGATGGATGGGTTTTGCTATGCTCTTTTACTCTAAACCAATATTGTTCAAACAATGTTATTGAGTACCAAACTCTCATACTCGGACTTGAAATAGCTGTTGACATGAAACAATTGGAATTTCAAATCTATGGTGACTCGCAATTAGTAGTTAACCAACTCTTGGGAAGTTATGAAATCAAAAGGTCTGAATTAATTCTATATCACAAGTATGCAATTCGACTTATGAGACAACTTGAAGGTGCAAATAGTAACCATGTCCCTAGAAGAGAAAATAAGCACGCTGACGCATTGGTTGTACTTGTCTCTTTACTTACCGCATTAAATCATGATATACAAGTTCGTGTATGCCAAAAGTGGGTGGTTCCACCACTATTTGGTGATAAAGATATTGAAAAAAGTGATTCTCATGTGATCTCAACTTACGAAACTGACAAAGAAAATTGGAGACGACCCCTCATTGATTATTTCAAGTATCAAAAGCTACCTAGGGAGCAACATAGAAGACCTGACATCCGCCGGCGTACTCCTCGTTTTATCTTGAATAAGGATACACTATACCGAAAATCATTTGAAAATGTATTCTTGTGCTGTCTGAGCGAAAACGAGGCATATCGGGTAATGCACAAAACATATTCTGGAATATGCAGAACTCATCAATCCGGCCCCAAGTTGCATTTTTGGATTAAAAAGATGGGTTACTATTGACCTACTATGGTCAAACATTGTATGGAATATGCTTAAAGGTGTCAGGCTTGTCAGTTTAATGCAAAATATATTCATCAACCACCCGAGCCATTAAACCCGACATTGTTTCTTGGCATTTTGATGCTTGGAGTCTTCATATTGTGGGGCTATTACCAAAGTCGTTCAATCAACATTTGTATATATTGGCTGTGACCGACTATTTCTCTAAATGGGTTGAAATTGTACCACTCAAGTAAGTTAGAAAAGAAGATGTGATGAATTTCATTAGTGTGAATATTATTTACCATTATGGATTTCACCGGTATATTATCATTGATAATGGAAAGCCCTTCTCTAATAGCTTAATGGACAAGCTGTATGAGAAATTCAAATTCAAGCAACGCAAGTCCTTCATGTATAATGTCCCAACCAACGGCCTCGCAGAGGCATTCAACAAAATTTTGTGCAACTTGTTGAAAAAAGTGGTGGCTAATTCAAAGAAAGATTGGCATGAAAAGATAAGGGAAACTCTTTGAGCCTATCACACCACATATCGAACTCCAATACAAATCATGCCTACGCTTTAGTCTATGGTGTATAAGCTGTCCTGCCTCTTAAGCAACAAATTTCTTCTCTGAGAATTGCTATCCAAGAAGGGCTCACGGAAGAAGAAAATGTTCGCCTGCGCCTTGAAGAATTAGAAGTTTTAGATGAAAAGAGATTGGAATCCTAGCAAAATCTTAAATGCTATCAAGCTCGCCTTTCTAAAATTTTCAATAAGAAAATTCGACGCCGTTCCTTTCAAATTGGTGATATGGTGCTCGTAGTTCGAAAATCAATAGTTATGATTCATCGTAACAAAGATAAATTTGTCTCCAAATGGGATAAGCCATATGTTGTTCGAGAAATTTATGCAAATGGTGCGTACAAGATAGTTGACAAAGATGGCGTCAATGTTGGTCCCATAAATGAAATATTCCTAAAGTTATATATGCCATAAAAAAAATACTCCATGACGTATGAGTCTAAACTGATTGTTGCTCCAAACCCGTATATGGTTAAACTATTGAAACACTCCACCAAATCTAAGGTGGTAAACAAATGGATACTCCTGACTCGCAGAGTCTAAACTATGAATGGTAGGAACTACATGTGACTTGATTCCCTTTTGAGATACGTATGCAGTTTAGAGGGTAACTTCTAAGTTCAGTTACAATCCTATACAACTAAATTCTTTGCCCTAATGATTCTTTTGTTGCAAAAAAAAATAAAAGAACATTCCTCTTTAGGACAGTTCAAATTATTTTGCGGCATACACTTAAAGTATGTTGTTCAGATTATCAAATTATTTGGACATTTATCTTCTCAAGTGTGATCAAAATTATGCAAAGATAAAATCGTTTATATTGCAATTGATAGTTTAAAATGGTGGCTATTGAAAGAATAAGGAAAAATAAGGGGTATCTATAAGGGTGTCTTGATGAATGAGGTTGCGAGCACTGTTTTCATCAAAGTATCGTGTGCCATTCTCTTCAAAATAATTTGTCATTGTTGGTTCAGGCATAGTATTTGGAATTAAATAATGGATAGAGAAATAATTCGCTAACCAAGCATATACGTAGTGCACCAGAAAAGCTGCACGCGCACACCCTGGGGTAGATGAATTTGAAATTTTATTGAGTCCGCAGTAGATATTTAGCAAGACAGGAACAACAAAGCAAGTCTTACGACCGGTAGCCATCATACTAGCCATTTTGAAATTAGATGACATAATATAATAGAAGTCTTCATCTAGTAAAGCAGAGACACAGAGCCAACAAGATATAAATGTTGTAAGATAGGTCTCTTCTCGCAAGTGAGATTTAACTCCGATGGTATCAAATACGCCATTGTCTTGACTTGAAAACTTGCGTGGTTGTCCAATTTTTCCATCCGAATTTTGGATGGCTTGAGCACGAGAGACCCTCTTTATCCTTCTTTGTTTTAGTTTTGAATATCTCGTTTTACTTTTAAATCAAAATGTAATCCATTAGCTAGCAGAAGCTTCAGCTTTGTTGGATTCTCCATGTTGAAGATGATGCAAGATATTGAACAAATATTCACAACTTTGAGGACTATGTCTCGATTTATTTTCGTTGACTCCAACTAGCTCCTCTACACATGGGATTATCTCTTCATGGATATCTCCAATGATTGAAAGTCCTCCTAACTTGTGCAAATCCTAAAGTGAGAGGGACAATTCTCCGACAGATGTATGCAAGATATTGGTGTCCGAGCACTATGCCTCACAAAATGCCCTAAGTACATGAAGATTTCTATCATATGTGAAAAGCGAAGTATATAAGACGTCAAATAAGTGATTTTCACGGAGCACTTGTTTGCTCCTTCTGAGGATATCCTTCAACCACTCCTAGTAATTTTCGATATAACTAAATTCACAACTAAATCTCAAGAAAGGACCCCAGTGTGCGTCTCCGTCTATGATTCAGCTGCCAAGGGTTTGAAAGGAAATTGTCCTTGGCTTCTTATTATGAATAAAGGATTTCAAGGAGTGAACTTTCGTACCATCATTTTGAGAAAGTTTGAGTGACCAAGCTTTCAATTCTGGGTACTGGTGAGAAGACCATTTACCAGAGTAAATTCCTTGTATAGGGGGATGCACCAATAATTTCATTCTTTTGTCACTAGAGTCATCATGGCTGTCGGCGATAAGGAGATACTTTTCGTTTAAAGATATGACTTTCTTGAACATAACTATTGTATCAAGATCAACCTGTAACAAAAACAAGAAAAAGAAAATTTGGTTAAAATAACATGATCGAAAATAGTAAAAGAGCTTCTTGAATTTTGATGAGCTCACATTGAAGTGGGTAATCGCGCCTCTTTCTTTGTACTCCTCAAACCATAATAGGTTCTCGTGAGAATTTGTGGTTGCACTGTTTTTTTTTCAAATTTTGGCTGCACCTCCTTCTTTGTACTCCTCAAGCCATAATAGGCTCTCGTGGGAGTTTGCGGTTGCACCTTCTTCATATTTCGGCTGCGCCATCTTCTTTGTACTCCTCAAGCCATAATAGGCTCTCATAAGAGTTTGCGGTTGCACCTTCTTTATTGTACTCCTCAAATCATGACAAGACTCTCGTAAGAGTTTGCGGTTGGACCTTCTTCAAATTAAGTATCCACCATATCTGTTGCGGCGACTAATCTTCCTTTCTTGTCATGCAAAAAAAAGAAAAAAAGAAAAAAAAAAGGAGAGATTAGTATTGACAAGAAATAAAAGTCATGGAGTAAGTGAATTACCTAAATACTCCGAGTGATAAAATTCTCGATTATAGAATCACGGGCACGATTGAGTCAAAGATGCAGCTTTGTTTGCAAACTAAAAAAAAAAAAAAGAGGGAAAGAGTATCAATTTGCCTTGAATAACGTGTGCCAACACAAGGTGCAATCTAATTTTTTTTTATTTCTTCTTTTCCTTTTCGGTGATCGTTGTTTTGTAAAGGAGAAAATTCAAAAACAAAAAGAAAAAATGACGTGTCGCATGCATTGGTGGGACAAGCTCTTCTGGTGGGCTATATTCGTCTCTAATGTCAAGTGTGGCATTACTTAATCACTATGGTGAAGGCAACGCAGATGCTCAACAAAATAGATCAATTAAATCCAAGTCAAGCAAAATTCACCAATTTTGTCATGCGAAGAGGACACGTTAATCATTGAAGTCTTTCTGGATTTCTAATTGCTACAAGTCACTTGACTATGCTACATGAATTTGTTGGATTGACACATTTAGTGAAGCGGGAATTGGCATGTGCTTTAATACAATTATATGTGTCGCATATACATTGAGCTAATTTGACAAGTAGCTAAAGGACATGAAGAAAGCATGCAATTTTCGGCAACTCAGAGATACCAACAAAGCCCAGTTTGAGGATTTTTGTCCCACAAACATGATAATTATCACACGTATTCAGGAATTCAAAGTGGGAACAAGTAGATTTGCGGACAAAGTTGGGCAGGGGAGGTTCATGAGTTAGGTAATGTTAAACAAAAAAAAATTTAGAATTACCTGAAGAATGTAGAGCCTTTTGATGTGTTCGTCGGCGCATTACCAACTCCTCTTAATCAGATGTCAATCGAGCTGAGTTGCAAGCATCCTCTTTAAATAATGGTTGTGGGGTTGTAAACAGGAAGTTGGATGATTCTCTTTAGAAAGCTGTAAGTTTTGGAAATTTGAAACCAATATGGAAATTGTCGAAGTTCCTAATGCATGATGATTGGTAGTTGCCAGTTTGGTTTGGAGGATAATATTCCATGTGAACTTTAAGAAGTCACGGTGGTCTTTATTTGCAGCTTGTAAGGTGAATTTTCCAATTTGTTAATGTCTTGAGCTAAGTTTTTGCTTGCAGCCTACTTACGTGTCGCGTATGATATTTGTTTTGGAAGCATTAGTATTTGGAGACTAAGGTAACTAATAACCTTCTCGAAATATGTATTGCTTGTTTTGAAGTCAACCGCAAGTCAAAAGGGAAGTGGTCTTGTGATTTCTTAAATTATTGAAGCCACAGGAATCATGATTCTATGCCCAAATCAACTTGGTTCAGTTGTGGTGTAAAGCTAGAGTACAAAGCCACACCATGAGAATTTTAGTAGCTTGGGCTTGATTTCCAAATGGAGCTACGCTAAAGGAATTCTAAATTGCTCAATTTTGAGACAAAAAAAAAATAAAAATAAAAATCAAGAATAAAACTTCAAGCCTGGTCTTTGGCAATTGCCAAGCAATGCCTCGCCAAGTCTTGAAGTGGGGTATTTATAGACAAAGAAATTTTATTTAATGTATTTAGTCAAGATTTATTTAAATTAAATTGATTTTGATTAAATTAAATTAAATCATAGAAGTCCATTATATTTTGGACTAACAAATTGGGCCAATGTTA